CACTCTCTAATTTGTAGTTCCAGGTAGTTGTGGGTGTCAAGAGGTCATTTCAGTCGAATGCATTCCAGTCCTGCTCCATTGCAAACTGTTGCCCCAGCTAGTAATCCACTTGCCGAGGAAGGTGGGTTATCGATCTAGACACGTCTTCTTATGCATTGTGTGGAGCACTTCAAGGCGCAACTGCACCTCTACTGTGTTTCAACTTTTTGCTGAATATCCCTAACACATTGGCCCACAACCTCGCACCCACCAGCACCTACTAGCTCAGATGCGTAGCAACGTTTCCAGGTAGAACAATAGGCTTCCTTCCGATGAACTTCTGTGTAACCAATTTCTCGTACACTGCACATCGCCTACATCATATATGAAAAACAGTCGTTGGACGCCTTAGGATAATTGTCGAGGCATTGACCTCCATCTCATGCCTAATTGTTAACGTGTAGACGCCGAATATGTTACAAATGGTTGGATCTAGCCCTTATGAAGCACCCCTAAACTTTTATATGTCCCCTCGTGGTTATTGTGCTATCTCAGTGGATAGCCACTCGCTGCTCTGACTAATTCACTCATCTAAGTGACTGCATTGTTTCTAATCATTGTCTCCATGTCGCATACTTCACTCACGGTTTTTCCAAGCCATGTACCACCTATACGTGCTTAAACCAGAAGGCTCATCATCTAACTCCCGACGATTGTGTAACGTTACCAGCGTATCGAAGAACCACCGAGGAAATGCTACTAGTGTCCACCAACTGGTGCTTAGAGACAAATCTACCTTCACTTTACTAGTCAAGTCAAAGTCAAAATATGCTTTATGAACGCTCATGGGTTCATTTTCAATAGTTACACCAACACTGCGGATATACTGGATGAGATTATCAATATGTTATACATACATGGGTAGAGAAAATGGGATATAATCGCAACTATCATTGCAACAAGCGCTCGCACAGCGCTGGGTCAATAAGCAAACGTGATAAAGCAGGTAAGAGAGTATTACGAAACGATGAAGTGCGGGAGAATGAAAATTTGAATTCCGAACGCTAAGAAAAGAAAAAAGTGCACTTTCGGAAACAGTGTGCATTGGATGAAATGATCCTTTAGTACACTAGAAGAAAAGTTACTGCAAGCATCAAGATGTCTCTAGCAATGATCAGATCAACTAAATAGTCTCTAGACAAGCCGCTGCGTCTAGTAATGTGCTTTATCGCCTGTATAAGTAATATGTTGTCTTTCGGATGCAATCCAGGGAAGATGACAGGGGAGCAGGATACCAACTGGAGGCTATTCCAAGTGGCCACGAACCCAAATATTCTAGGACTGCGTACTTAAGGCGCCTTAAGTATGAGGACATAAACCGAAAGTTTTCCGACCTTATGGAGGATTTCACAGACATGCATGCACCAAGAAAGGTTCTGGAACACAAAGACGCCGAGATACTTGATAATGGATAATCTAAGTATGAGATTTTCCTCTGCAGTTAGGGTGGAGGAGATATCAATGAAGAGCTGCGATTTATCTCCACGAAGGAAGGGGTATAGTACTTGACTGCATTTAGAAGCACCTAATGTAAACGATCGCCAGATGTTCCAATCATACGCTGAACTAGTGAGAAATCTTGCATAATCGGAGCCGTGCATCCCAGCACAAGTCCGTCAGCATATTTGCATCCTATAAGTGTGGTTTATATAAGGAGACGTTCAGCATGTACTTAAAATTCGGAAGGTGATGACCGCTCCCTCCAGAACATCACTGTTGGCACGTGGAACAGAGGATTTCTTATCGTTTAACTTGGTGTAGTATGATCCGTAAATAGGTCACGCAACAGATTTTATCCACTCGTCTGAACTCTATTTTCGGATAGCAGGTTGAGCAACATTAACCTATCCACGCTTTCAAAAATATTCGAACAATCAAGGAGTTTACATTTCTGGTCTAATGCATATGCTACAGGATGAACACGATGGGACACTGCATCCAATGTAGAGTTCTGGGGTCTTTAAGCAAACTGGTTGATATCATCCGCAGGAGTGACTGTAAAAATCTGCAGCATTAACAGTTTTTCGCGAACTTTCAGAAGCACGAATGCACACACAATTGGGCGATATTTTTGAGGCCCATTTTTGGTACTAGGCTTATTCTGACCGTTCTTCAAATGTCCGGGATCACACCCATAGTGTGATATTGCTTAAAGTGGTATATTAAAGGTAATGTGAGAGAATCAGCACACTCTTACGAAGCTAACGATGAGTGATCATCAGTTCCTTGTGAACGTTGCATTTATCGAGAAGTGCAGCTGGATTTGAGCTAATAAAGGAGGTCAAGAGTGTGAGCTTGATGAGACGGAACTAAAGTCATGAGTTACTTTGTCCACCTTCACTTCACTGCTCTGGCTGCAAACGCTCTTACCACAGAACCATCTCAAAATCCTCCATAGATCACGACAGTTATAATTGCCTAGAACCGCTTCAACATGTAAGTGGTTTAGCCTTTTTATACCGGATGGAACTGCTGAGGTTAGGCTCATGACGCTAGTGATCATCTTGCACTTGTAGGCCCATTCTTCTTTTGAAGTCACTTTATCAGTAGTGATGAAAATCTATCTGTCCTCAGGTAGATCGTTTCAACAGGGCAATACATGCCAAAGCAATCTTTGATGTAGTCCGTAAGATGGTTACATTGAAGCGATAGGTCCCCCTTGTTGAAGCACGACAAATTAATTGAAGAAAACATCGTCTGGAACCACGTGATATTTCCGAAGGAGCAATTTCGCCGTTTGATAATCCTGAAATAACGTCTGGTCAGCGTTAAAAAAATTAGATCTGCTTTATATGACTGGATACAGTTTTAACATACAATCGTCTGAGTTGCTCAAAGGAGCCGGTTTTTGTATAGAAAGCAACAGTCGTTTGGTTGTGAACACAGCGTCCAACTGGGCGTTTTGTCTGGTCGAAACAGTCACTAGGTCTACCAAGCCAAGTGTCTTCAAGAATGTTGTATTCTTCCTATTGATGTCGTTAGCAACAATACAGATAGAATAATCTAATTTAAGCAGTTGCGTTGAAGAAACTTGGTATTTTAAAAATACGGTAACTGACGCAGTTATGTTAGGAGCAATGTGTACGTTTCCAGCGATGAACGATTGAAGGCCACTTAAGAACTTTGATTTTTTTAATTTAATAGCAACTTATGGAAGTCGTTATTATGTAAATATTACGGTTGCTGAATTGCACCAACCTTGATTAACTTAACTTCTAACAGCACCAGCACGAAGCTAAAGCTTTCCAGGTTGACCAGACCTGATGGGAAAATAACCATCAAGTTGAAGAACCATTTTCCACATCAGTATGCAACCGATTTCTTGTAACAAAATGATTCCCAGATTATATATATATATATATATATATATATATATATATATATATATAATTTCAACACTTGACCAATATACAATTGGCAGAGCCACAACACATGATGAACAACAACAAAATACGGAAAAATCAGGTCGTCAGTGTAAGGGTTTAAAAGGTCAACGCATTGTGTGGACTGACATCTTCCAGTTTGCCCAGACCTAGGAAGATGGTTGATTTAAGGGACTCCTACCCGAGCCTTTGGTCATAACGGCCTTACTCGCAAGGCAGCGGGGCGATTCACGAGCACCGTTGACAGTCGGATGGCTCATTCGCCTTTATTGTCTTCGGAAGCACTCAAATGTACGTATGTAACAGTCTACGAATAGACATGGAGCCAACAAAAGCCATGGAACTCAAAGTAAGGCACAGTTATCGTAAAAAGAAAACAACACAACGCAGCGGAATCCATAATTTCGTCAGGGGGCAAGATATTACCCGCTTGCCCAAGCCAGTGGCCAACAAGATTGTTCGTCAGCCCTCTGTTCCTGTTTCGCTCCCTAATGGCATTGAGATCATTGATTCTACCAAGAAGCGAGCGCACATTACTGAAAAGTGACAGTGGGACGCGCTTTGTCGATATAGCAACGACTGAGGCCAGATTACTAACCAGGATGATGCTTTTGTTTTTCCAAGGTGTTCCCTCATAATTTGTTTAGAGGTGTTGCTGACTTCGTGACCATATTCGATGAAACACAATGTTTTCAGTAGATTGACGGAGCAGGAGATGATTGACATTGATGCTAGTTCAGAAAAATAAATTGTCTCAAAGATACAAATAAATATAAATAATGCAGTTGGTAATGCAGACTAGTATTCTAACGAGGAAAGCAGTGGTCTAATTCGAAGGTCCCACTAGGTTGATTTCGGGCTTCCTTCCCTTCGACTGGCCAGTTCGTCTCACCAGGCATCTTAGTGACTGTCTGTACCTTTTTCTTCCCTTCTCTGAATCACGATGAACGCTCAATTACCGGTGGTTAATTCTGTTCTTTCGAAACGGTAACCTTCACTATTATTACGTTGGCTATCTTTGTAGTTAGTTCGATATCCTCCGTTTAATCTACCAGTCTACTCCATTGATAAGGTGCTGGTAGACGCACAGAAACTTGCGTGTGACGCGCATTCTATCGTTATTGTAAATCAATGCTCTGCTTTCTGCACAATTGGTGAAGTAAAATCCGAACCCAAACGAAATGCGCTCTCAGTGATGTGCCGGTTGTGCGTGCTACAACACTCAACTCCAGCGAGAGAGCTTGACGTTTTGACTGGGGATTGCCTTCCTATCATGCTTTTAATTCAGCGTGCAATAGCCAATATCGCCACGTATACTCGCAAACTCCATGTGTGTAACTGTAAGCTGCTCTGTCTGTTGTTCCAGTCACCTTCGGGCATGTCGCTAAAATATTGTCTTTTGCAGAAGTTTTGCTGTGTATCTTATTTCTATATTACGATTCACGTGCCCCGCGCACACGGTTGCTATCATTTCCTTTCAGTTCGGAAAGCAGTTCGGACTCAGTAGTTATCGCGCTTCATCTTCAGACTTTCCTGTTTCTACCTATCATTTAAATTTCGAAATTCTTTTTCCCCCAGCATGTGGCCTTCGCCTACCTCTTGAAGGCGAGCCTCTGTCCACTTGTAATCAAATTATTCTCACCAAGTATCAAAATACGACCAAGCGTTCCCATCACATCTTCTGGACTCACAGAGACCGCATCTTCCGCACTGGCTGCGGCTGCGACCGCTGTGGTTAACGCCGGAGGGGCAATGATCGGATCCACCAGTTCTCTTGCCATCACGGAACGTGGTGGCTTTCCTGTGATGGTTCGCCTGAAACGACTAATTTCGGTGATCGTTATGCACTATTTTGATTTACTGGTAAGTGAAAGTCTTACATTCTTATCCTCCACCGCTTTCCTCACGTTTTCTGTCCTTTATAGCCATCACCACTCAGTTCAAAATCTAACCTGTTCAGGGAATCATCAATTCCTGATTACCTGAAATTTGTTCTATCAACAGCCATCTGCTTCCGACAAATAGGTTTTACCATAATGCATGATTTACGCCATTCTTTCTTTGGTGTTTTCAAAGATACCTGAACAACCGAACTGTTGAATTAAGCTGTTTTTACTGACCCTTCGTACAAAACCAGAAATTTGTTGATTCTGTTATATGCACTCGCCCCTATTGCTCCAGGTAGTATAGACGCAACGAGCTCTGTAAACGCTTCGTAAACATAGAATTATTTCAGCTAGGCTACATGAAATGGAAGAATCAACAAAGCCCTCGCGACGAGGCTAGACTGTGACGTGATGCGGTGGTTTGTGTTACTTTTCGCTTCATAATGATATATTAGTATCTTCGACTTTATATGCGCTACTCCTGCCAGATGTTTCGCCTTATCCAGACTGAGTCACTTGTTGCACCGCCATGACACCCGTTTCTCCATCAAACGGCAAGTTTATTGTGCAACGGTGCGCGCTGTACTATTGTGCAGTTGCGAGACTTCGCCTGTTTGTACCGTGGACATGCGCTGTCTGCCTTTCTTCGAGCACCGTTGCTTTCGGTCCATTGCCACCTTTGTGTGGTGGCTGACATACATAGCCATTGTAGAAGTTAGACAGTGCCTCTTGGATGGAGGCAGCCACTCGCTCGAAGAGCTCGTCTCGCTGCATCATTTGCGGTGGCTTGGACACGTATTTCGCATGAGAAAGCTACCAAAACAATTGGCCTCGGTTGGTTGTTCTCGGCTCCCTGGTTGGTGTTCCAGAATTACAGTTTTGCTGGTTGTAGACTCTGGAACTCATGGTTCAATGCCCACTTTATTGACAGACGTGTATCTCTGTGTGTTGCGTTGATTTCCTTTCCCTCGTGTTGTTGCAGCCCGTGCAATGTAGCACAGTCAATCTCTGATCTGTTACTCAACAGTCAGTTGAAGTGCTTTCGCCAGATCTGCGTTATTTCTGCAGTCTGTGTGCAGGCAGCGTCTGAACTGACATCGATAAATAACTAAATAACATGTTTATTCTCGACTACGGGAGGCACGCCTGAATAGGCATGATCATGGTAAGAGTACAAAAATGTGCTCAGTTAATGTACAATGGAACAATAGGGTTGTCACTTATGTTGATATATGAATGTATGTATGTGGGCATGTAGGCGTGTGTAGCCGTGTTTATGGGATTTGTAAATGCTTTCCTGCACTTTTGATCGTGTTGCCGTTGCTAAGAGATGCTTGATGTTTGTGGACTTGAAGCGGTTGCTCGTCTGAACGATGCTGACCAACGGTCTGTAGGCAAACGAGAGACCAATCAGCTGCTGTCGGTGCAACTTGCTCACGCGTGTACGAACTAAATGGTGGGATCTGGATTGGCTCGGTCTAGATGGAACAAGGCACAGATTTGTCACGAACAACGAAGAAAAACAGCGAGCGGACGGAGCTCGTGCGCTTGTCAGAGAGACGAGGAAAAGCCGAAGTGTCCAAACATGACCCGAGACGGACAACGCAGACGGAGCAGAGGTTGGATTGAAGCGAGTAAAATGTACTGACCAATGAGCACAGACAGACCATGAGTGACACAAATATTGGAGGGTAAGCAGTATGAGACGTCGCGACCAAATGGCACCACTCACTCAAGTGCAGTATAAACGATGCTTTGTTTTAGAAATAACACTGATCGTTGCCCAGACTCTATTTTGATTATTTGTGGGCTACTCTACACTTGACTAGCGACTAGAATGAGACCATGGAAGTCAGCTTTCCGCTAGTTGTAGGATGGCTCCTCTGGATGCGAATATATCAGCCGCAGCTCTAGGCTGGCTAGGAACATTGACGGGCTCCAGGACCTGAACATCATACAGAAGCTGTTGTAAGAATCATTTAGACGCACTGATCTATATCGGACTATTGAGAGCGGGAGGGAGATCCCTTGTTAGGTATGGATTGCGATGCGCAATCCTTACGTGAACCATGATTCCCATTGATGTGATCCTTGATCAGTTCGTACACTGGAACCGTAACTGTTGAGGCAAATGGTTATTGTGTTGCTCGCACGAAAGCACGGCACTCAGCTTTAATGCAACTCGCGGAACCTACCTTGAATTTGCGTGTCGCAATCCATCCACACAGCGAATGAACCAAAATTACCCATCCAATCAGTTATTAATTGTCTTACCAACGTTGCCGGTCGTGGTCCGGTGGCTAAAAGGATATAGGTCTCAGCTGACATCCCAAAGGTCTCGAGTACGTATGTCTTCTATTTAAACAAGTCGGAAATCTGTCGTGGAGTGCACTCTTTTCGAGGAGTACCACTCAAAATCCATATCTCATTAACCAAGACTCATCTTGTTAAGAGTCGCGGTCCTCATACCCAACTGTTTGCGGCTTTTCGATATCACGTATATGCCCGACGAAGCCCGATGTTGTGTACTGTGCGTCGACTGGTCGATGTACTGTGACGCCCTAGCGTCACATATCATCTTAGCAAACTCTAGCTTAATTTCATAGCGTCCGGAAAGAAATTGAATCTCACGCCTGTGTATCCGAAGAAAGTTGACATCACACAGGAGCAGGAAGCAGGATAGACTTATGTGGTTTCGAACCTACGGCAACCAACCCAAACAGGGACTTCATCAGATGCCATAGTCTACACCCATGATCAGTTCACCACGTCTCGTGCGGATTGGGCACCACGGTAGCTCGCGTAGGCCATCTTTGCTTTGAGAGCTGCTTGCAAGTTTCCTTCACAAGAAAAACCGAATATTTGGCAGCAATCCACCGCACTCGTCTGACATTCGTTCGCACTGGAAGCGCGTGTAGCCACTGAATTAGGTATACTGACGTTGAGTGAGTAAGTCGGTTTACCGCTGCTCTTTCACCTCTGGTTTCAAACTAAGCGACGCCTGGTCACAAAAGTGCGCACCCACCCAAACATACGTCTGGTTGATCGTGGTATTATCTGGGCCACACGCTACAATCGACAGCATATAATAATTGTCTCGAGGCCATTTCGAGTATTCGTGTGAATGGATCACGACATACACTCTCAATTTAGACCGTCGTAAACGTTGCAGCGAGTCCCAGTAAATTTGGCCCCTGGGACCGTATCTTAAGCAGATAGTCGATAAGTCGCCCGCCCCTACAATTCACCCCACGACCTGTGTCGTCTTTGTCTGCACTTTTTCGGTGGAGACAGCGGAATTTCGACTTGAACTCAGGGAGAATTAAGTCTCGACTAACTATTTACCGCTACGTCACCGCACTGCTTGTCACCTTGTTCAGAGACATCCCAGATCGTGTCCGAAATGGGGTGGAGTCTTGTTATCCTTTCACATGACCAGCACTCCAAATGGCTTAACATAGATTCTCCGAACGTCTTTTCAAGCGTTTGCCGTAGATCTCGGTGCAATATAGACACCGGTACAAACTTGGGGCACCAAATATAAAGCGAGTTCCCCACCCCATGTGTTTTGAACGGAGAGTGGTAAATGTTTGGAACAGTCTGGGAGAACAAGTCGTGGAGCCCAAATCTGTTCAGCAGTACAACACGTTGTTGGCTTTCCCTCACACCGGAATTCGCCTCAAAAAACGATTACACATTCACAATCGCCTTTTACATGTGCGAGCCTAATTATGCCGTAAGTCAGACATTTTTAAATGCTACATAAGAAATTGAAGGACGATTAGAATACCAACAGGCGGCAGATAGTTTTTATGGCCTTGATTACATTCTGATGGAGTTATACATCATTAATTAACTGTATGCCTGCTCCCACAATACATGATGCTCGAACTAGATTTCCAACCCGCACTGAATAGCTCGAGTGACCACTACACTTATTGACCATCATTATCATCATTACAGATTAGTTAAAGATCAGAAAACGCTTAACCTATTGTGCCGCATTATAAAGCTATATGAAAATACGAATTACAAAATGTTGTAGAATGCAAAAAGATCAAAAGGTAACATACAGCTTAGTAACGTCTAATCCTTCAAAACCAAGACCGTAATTGGAAGTCGAAGATAAGCCGCATGGGAATAGACAGAGAAGCTCACAACACACGCTACTGAACCCGGCTCTTCGCCATGTCGAAAGTTTATCCAAACAGACACGTTTATCTTACTTGGGAACACTGCCCAGCACTTAGCACCCACTAAACGACTCCAAGTTCGAAGTGAATGCCATCACTTTTATTGTCTAAGTAATTTCATGGCCTCCTTTTCTTCGATCCACACTTCCAGCGGGCAAACAGCAGACGTTGCGTAAGTCCTTGTGCTGGCATGCGCAACACGTGGCCCAGCCATGGGAGCCCAGTGCGTGAAATAACCGTGCTGCGTGGTTCGCACACTCTTTCTGAACCAAATACGAGGTGCCTAACATTCTCATTGCTTACTCATTGTTCCCAACAGACATGAACTAAGGTGCGAAGGCAGCGACGGTGGAAACTAACTGTCCTTTATATACATACTTGATAGGCCAGGTTTCGCAACCGCATGAGGATCGAACAGACGGATGTCTTGTTAACTCGGCTTTTCATGGCGACTGTGATGTCACCCCAGCACTACAGATGGCGAAGATTGGCAAAAGTGCCTCGAACTTTTGCGGTAAAGTTCCTCATCCCACCCTCCATTCCACTGGCGCTGAGATAGCTACCTAGATACCCAAATTTTTCGGCGACTTCCAGCTGATTACAACCAAGAGCCCCTGCCAATCTTTGAGAACTTTGCATTTTAGAGGCTGAAAAGCATAGACGGCAACGATTGATAGCCAGTGGTAATTTGTCCAGTGCTGCTTTCCACGTTTGCGAGCTGTCACCGATAATGAAAAGGTCGTCGGCGTACTCCAAGTCAAAAAGTCGGTCATCTGGGAGCAGC